CAGTTGTTGTTACAATACTTGTAATTTCCCGTTGCTATACAAGGCCGAATTGCTCGACCTCTGTTGGCAGATGGGCTGCTATGCGGATGCCTCGGTACTGCTGATTATTCATGATGTTATATTGATCTCAATGACTAGCAGAGAAATCCAGGATGTCCATTTCGTCCTGGATAGCCTAGAGAATGTGTTCCCAGCTTACGGATACTCTGAGAATTTTATCAGAAACGAAAAAGCCAGTCACTTACACTTGTGGTAAAAAGTAAATATCCCCATGCCATCCGTTCAAGGCAGATAACCTAACTGAAATTCTCTGAGAGATTCCAGCGATCAGTGAAGAAGACCTCCTTGACGACTTGATAGAGTTCCTCATGTGTCCACATTCATGTGTATTTATAAACACAACTGTTCTTAAGGAGTTACTTATCTTGGGCATACTATGAATGCCTTGTCGCAATGCGCTGAGCAACATCTACAGGTGTGGTTGATGAGTGGCCAGGAGAAGAAAAGGTTAGTGGCTCTGTTCAGTCACATCTAAAAGATGCTGGTGATACTGTGGAAACTAAATCAACCGTCTCAGTAATTCATAAGAGGTCATTGTTTGGAATCCTGCAACGATTCTGGTTTGGATTTCATATTCAATTATTATTCAATATTAATTCATAAAATACCTAACCAACTGTTTTCATGTCTATCCTATGGTTAGTTTCTAATATATGTTTAGCGATAGACGAGGACGGATGTTTGTCACCTGCACTTATCAGATCTCCTGAGGTCATTTGTTTTTGAAGCCACTTAGGTACGTGTCCAACCTTCCTTAAGTGCATATCATGATTACTCCTCCCTATATATATGTCCACATATACATGTAAATTGATAAACACAGTGGGATGTGATGTATTCGTTTATGTTGTTTTGGTTTGTGCTGTTAAATGGACTTTGTCTTCTCTACAATGATGACCATAGCTGCATAATACGTTTTACAGATGGCCGATCTAAGTCTTTTCCTCACAAGAAAGGTATGTGAACCACCTCTAAACGGTAACTAGATGTGGATATTTTTCGTAGCAACGGAAAACTATGTACTTTTCATTGGTACATAACTTCTACACCTGTCGATAAATCTCAACTGGTATCCATTCTGTGTTAGAGTTGTCGTCAGTAAGTTGGTTTCTTCCTCCCTGGTGTCATCGGTGCAGATACAGTTTATCTTGTTGAATAAGGATCTGAGTAAACTACGTTTATATTGGACTAGGCAATAGCTATGGAAATTAAGATATTTCCCTGTCCATGTAGGTTTCTTATAGATCGACCTCCTGATCGAGCCATCCTCCTGTCGACTGAGCAATACGTCTAGGAACGGTAGCTGATTGTTCGTCTCTTGTTCACAAGTCAGGCTAATGTGATTTTGAGCCGTGTTCATTTTCTCTAGCAGGCATATCGCATCATCAGGCTTTTCACATATAATGACTATATCATCTACGTATCTCTTATAAAGTGAAACCGTTCCCATGAGATCGTCAGCCATCTTTTCAATATATGACATGTATACATTAGCTAGCAACGGTCCTAATGGACTACCCATCGCGATGACATCAACCTGTTGAAAGTGTTCACCCTTGAATGTGAATTCAGCTTGGTGGCTAGCAATGGAATTCAGGATGCATGTTCCGCACTACTTGGAACTCATCAGTGTTCTCACTGGGATTCGAACGCAGTACCTATGGCTTCAGACACCAAAGCGCTATCCAACAGGTACTGGGTTAGAGTCCATACGAACCTTAGTCACTGGGGTACATTCAACTGACAAATGCTAAGCAGGACGAAACGCATCCCGGATTCCACTGTTAGCCACCACGTAGACTTCAGCATTTCGACAAGTTCTCGTCACCTGTTTTTCACAATTTACTAATAAATCCTTCTTTCTCCACTAAGGCATCGTTATAATCTGTTTAGTAAGTCTAAATTACTACCAGCCATAGTCTAGCGTCAATGACTGTTCAGTCCAGGGTTACTGACATCTTCAGCAGGAACTTCATACAGAAGTTAGTACTTTCCAATATATTTCGATATCTAGACATGCTTACAATCATCATGAAAACTTTGATTCCATTTACAAACGTAAACGGCAGCCAGCTGGAATGTATATGCTAAAATCAATCAGTTAGGATGAAGCTAAGAAGATTCAATGACTTTTACCGTTCTCACAGAAAACTGGATGCGACACCAGACAACATCCTGAAGAGTATCACTCTTCCTATTTCACAAGTGATTTGATCTCACCTTACAACCGGGAGAGAAAATTCTCAGATACACGTTTTTTGCATCAAATGGGGAGCAGTGATTTGCTTGATCGAACGAATGGACAATCAATTTCTGGGCAAATGCACTTTAGAAACAGTTAAAATATTCCACATATTGCACCTTACTATGACTAACAACAGTATGATGCATTTGTGTTGATCGTCAGTTTAATTTTGGAGTTACAAAGTGTTATATACCACTGATATTGGCTAATGACCTTAAAATAACTTTATTATAGTTGTTTTTGTGCTCTCTTGGCGTCGTTCCTATCTTCTGTTTTTCCCACTATTTCTGAAAGCTGAACTCTCATTGGTTGTTAACTATCTTGACTTGCCGGTGAATTTGTTGCTTGTCAGGGTCATTTATGAATGTATATATTCAGCATCGCTCTCAACTGTTTTGACTGTTGTTGAGACAATGCTGATTATGTGTCAACGGTTTATCTTCTCTTCTTGTTTTCCCGTGCCAGTGGTATTGTAATTGTGGTGGTCGACGTTCTGATTAGCGATTAGGGTCGATTCTTTTGCGTGTTAGGTTCGTATCGCTTGTAGACTGCTAGGTCACATTAGTGGTCTTAGCACCAACCAACATATAATTTTGTTCGAAGGTTAATCCTGACCCAGAATATATGAGTCATAACTAGCACAATAAATCCTCACTATAATCAGTTCACAAAAATGAAATTTTGAAGATAGTTATCTAATTGGTTAATTCTGCCAATATAATGATATGTTTTAAATCAGGAACAAGTCGTTGGTAAATCTTTTTGAGCAGCATTTGAAATGCATTCCTCTCATGCGTATACAAAGAGTTGGAAACAGATATCGATGAATATTCTCCTTCACCTGAATCGGACAATGAGACCCATAATCTAGAGGAAACAGACGTCAGAGCTCAAAAACTCGAATAGCTAGTTAACGAAGAAATTCAATGTAATCAAGGTTGTTACTTTGTAGATATTTTTCGTCAGCAACGGATCCATACCATGAATTTCAAGAGATTAGAGAAATAATATGAAAACTGGATGAGATAACGACGATAAAAGGGAAAAACGATAGTAAAGATGATCAGTGAATGAAAATAAAGAATTCATATTGTGGAAAATGTAAGTGATACTTTATGAGTGTCCATACAATGATCATCAGTATGGTTTCTTAGTTATATAGAGAAAAACTTGTTTTCCAATTCAGAAGTTAATAGATATCTGACTGATACCAGTCAAATTCTCGTATATCCCACTGAGTAACCTTACAGTTAATAGAAAAAAGCTATGGTAGTAGGGTACAGAAAGTACAATGTTTAGGATCAAAGTTTCCTGCCTGAATAAGAAAAATGGTGAATCGAATCAGTAGTATGACTTCATCATTAATATCGTATTATGCAGAACAAGTACTGAGCAAACCTTCACTTGACATTTCCTTTTTGCTTTGTAGTTCATTGGGAGTTTAGACTTAAAATCTATCATAGGAAAGCGAACTTGGCGATTTGATCACTGTTAATTACTACTTTATTATTATTATTTGTCCCAAGGGTTCCTAGTCGAACATAGGGCTTCAGTAGCACGTCTCCATTCCACTCTGTTCTCTACAATCTTTTGAACCTGGTTACACGGCAGCCCAGAAGCTCTCATTTCCACTTTCCACGATCTCCGTGTGATCTTTGGAAGCCCAACTAGTTGCTTCCCATGCAGGTTCCACTCAACGGCCTGACCTGGTGCGTGATGTCCCCAGTCGGCTTTCTCAGTGTATGCCCAATCTATCTCCACTTCCTTCCAGTGCATATTTGTTCAGCGATAGCTTCTTGGTTGGTTCGTGGCCAGCCAGCAAGATTTCCTTGTTGCTTATTGTTGTTATTCTGGCCATCTGAGCTTCTGTAATGAGCCAGCATAGGCAGTTGTTGATGAATGTCTGTAGTTTGTTGCAAGTGCTTTTCTTGACGCGTCAACTTTCTCAACCATATAGAAGCAGTGACTTGACGTTGGTGTTGAAAATCCGGATCTTGTTCCACATGCTGAGTGCAGAAGATCTCCCTCCACACTGGTTTCAGGTTAATGAACGCATGTCTTACTGTCTTTCTGATTCTCGCTGGCTTTGCTGTCCTCGTCTGTGTCGCCACCTGTAGTTGAAACAGTACTGCCTAGTTGGTAGGTGGAAGAGGCTACTTCGTTTGAGTTTCTCCCGCTGATGGTGATTGGTGTTGTTGGTTGGGTATCTTCATCAACTCTGTCTTCTCTACGTTCACTTGAAGTCCCGTCCTCACTCCCTCTTTAGTCAACTTGCTAGTTTTCGCCTGCAGATCTTCGAGTTTGTGCGACAAGACATTAGACATCGGTGGCGAAATCCAAATATTCTACGCTCTTTTCATCGATCAAACTGCTAATGCCCATCTTCTCGCTCCTCACAGTTTGCTGCATGATCCAGTCGACCACAATCAAGAAGATCATGGCTGATAGTAGACAGCAGCCTTATCTTACTCCTGTCTTCACTTCAAAAACATCACTGAGCTTCCTATTGTGAACCACTTGGCATATGGCGTCTTCATAGATTTGCTGAATGAGTAAGAGAGTTATTGTATCAGTCATATACAGCCTAAAGACAAAACATAATCGATGTTATGATGACCTAAATTCACTATTCTAACCATTTCACACTCACCTACACACCTAATAAAGTATAATGAAACAAAAAAAAACTGTACAGTGAAATAAAGCATTATTTATATCATATGAAACTTTTCAAATATATCTGTATTCCATATAACAATAATCAAAAACAGGTGATCATTTCTAAACATTCCAGTTAAATATTTCATTGAAATTACCACAATTCTGTTGTATTGGACTACTTGTGAACCAATTGTCAATGAACAACACCCAATCATATACACATAGTACATAATTGCATACACATTTAATAATTATGATGATTACATTGAACTTTCATTGAATAAGTGAACACCCCATTAAAAAGGAAATGATAGAAAAGAAAAGGAATTACAAAAAAAAACTAAAAATTAGCAGAGAATCAAAAAGAAATAACTCAAGAAATTTCCAGTTAGTCATCACCATCAACATCGAGAGACAGTGATAAGAAAGTCAAAAAGGTAAATAACTTACACAGACCCATGCACACACACACACACACACCCAAAAGTAACAAAAATTGAATCCAAATTTTTTCCCCCGAAAACATCAACAAAAATGGAAGAGGTGACTGACACTGATGTATCAGCTGATGAAATGAACTGGATAACCATCAGCAGAAGAAGGCATCCAGGTGGAACAAGGTTAAGGTGGATGAACAAATTGTTGAGAAAGTAATCAAAAATCTGTTTCATCATCATAGAAATCAAGAAAATTGACATATGTTACACGTGTTACTGTACCATTCGCTGTAAAGGTATACTTATAGTAGGATCCATCTGCAGCTAGGACTATGCAGTCGGTGGGAAAGAAAACAGAAAAAAAAGAGATAAACGTAGGATCAGGTTAAAGTTATGACTGAATACATTAATGAATCTCATTGTCAATGATTTGTTATTTTGAGCCACTGGGTCAGAATCCAATGCTCCATATTTCCAACTTCTGTTAGCTCACGATATAGAGCGAACCGCCACCTAATGTCATCGTTGAGTATTTGTCCTCACGGCCATCAGGCTTGACTCCACCGGTTACGACTTGTCATCGTGAGCTAACAGAAGTTGGAAATATGGAGCATTGGATTCTGACCCAGTGGCTCAGTGGTAACGCGCTGGTCGCGGAACCTGAAGGTCGCGGGTTCGATCCCTGCTGGTGGGGTCGTGGGTGCGCACTGCTGAGGAGTCCCGTACTAGGACGATTTGTTATTTGATATACAACAGTTGCATGTCAGTATCAGTCTGTTTTCATAATTCCACCTGGTACAGATTTACATACTAGGCCAGGAGCCATACTAATTCTGCTAGAGCCAACACATATTTATCTATCAACTAGTGAATTTCATAATTTGCATAAATCTATCGCTCATAGTTGACTGACTAGTTTACATGATGAAATTATTGAAGTTGTATTCAGAAATTGTGAAGTAGAGCGTCAATCACATCTTTAGTATAAGTGTAAAACTTGGGCATTATGGTAGGATTTCATTCCATATTAGATTTGTTTATTCGATTTATAACACAGTGATACAGTATTATTTACTTTATGACATTTCGAGCATAAATTATTCCTCATAATCATATCAATGTAATTACACAGCTTTCGACATTTGATTTCTATAATCCTGTTACCTCTTATCCATTGTTTTTATTGGTAGTGAAACGCTCCATATCTCTGGTGTAGGTGTTGCGTCATTTCTATTACATGTGTTGGGTGTTGATTCGATGAACAAAGATTCAGTAATCAATCTCTCTCTCTCCACCTATTTACATTGGACTTAAGTACAGTGGCCTTGTCCCATCCTACTGTGTGGTTGTATGTTAATGCATCCAACGCAATAGCCGAGTTTTTTTCCAGATTGTTGACCTTATTCGGGTCTGTCATTCTACATTTATCTAAGTTCCTATGTTCGGCTATTCTAACTGACCTCGACCGGCTAGTTTGACCAAAGTACTTGACCTTACAGTTATTAATTACATGGAATTTGATAGATTACATTATTTTGCTGAATTGGTTCTATCGAATCTTTAAGCCGGCAAAGCTTATTTCTGAGTGAGTTTGTAGGTTTAAATGCCATCCTGATACCAGCTTCGTTGAGGATCCTACATAAAGTTTCTGGTGTTGCTTCCTTAGAGGGTAACACAATGGAAGCTGAGAACTCCTTTCGACTCATGTTGTCGTTATTATTCGTACTCGTGTTACTGTTATCTTTTCGTTTCTTGTGTGTTCGAACATATTTTCAATAAACTGCAGAGGATACTTATTAACTATTAGTGCTTCTATTACGTGTTTCAATTCCTTGTTTAGGTCCTTACACTGGCTAGTCACTTTTCTAGCTCTATCACTAAAACATTTGATTAAACCTGCCTTAAATGACATTGGATAAGATGATACCTGTTAGATTGTGTTGGTTTCCTGCAGATGGTAGTATCCAAGCCACCGTCTGTCCTTCGTTTTATTCTACAGTCCAACGTAGGTGATTCTCCTCATTCATTTTCTACCTCGTAAGTGAATTGGATTCGTCCACTATCAACCTTATGTGTGAGGAAACTGTCGATGTGTTCCGATTTCAACACAGTAAATATGTCATCTACATATCACCACCATGTCTTAGGTGCAGGATTAAACGTTTGTAACTATCCAGGAATATATCTGCTACTATTACGAATATTGGCGATCTCATTGCTACTGCTTCTGTTTGTCCAGATGTTTTGTCCTGAAACTTGAAGACTGTGGAGGTCAAGCACAACTGTACGCCTAATATAATTTCAACAACCGATATCTTAGTTCTGTAAGTTCTGAGTCAATATTTAGTTGATTTCTGACTGCTTGTCAATCACAGTCACCGAGAATAGGCGGGTCTCGGGTATTCTCGATCGTCGAGTTTCGATCAGACAATAATGTACGCAGATATATCAATCTAGACTTTTGCAGAGCTGTTTCAGTTCACGTCGCCATATTTTTAAACACCAAAGAAAGAGGAAATCAGAAAAAATAGAATGATGAAAAAAAACATGAGAAAAGAAAACAATTAGAACTTTAGAAAGGATAAGGAGTGAAAACATCTCCACTGCTGTGGTCAATTTTGAGCAATTTCTCCCATTTTCAATGGAAATATCTCACTAGTGGAAATAGTGGATTATCGTAAATCACACTGACTCATGGATTACCAGTTGGATACTGCACTCGTGCTAGAAGGTAAAAAGGTTGGACAATGCACACCAGACTTCTGGTATTCATCCCAAGAAATTCTAAGCTATCAGATGTTTAGGAAACCTGAATTTCGTTAATGTCTTTACCTAACACGACCATATTGTCTGTGTACTCCAGTTCGATGTGATGTTTTGTAGATGGCAAAGCAGTCCCTGAGAAGTGGGAAGCAAGGAAAATCACATATGTTAATACATTTATAGCGAAGCTGAATAAGAAGATCAGTTGTGGATGCGTGGTTTTCATCATCTAAGATCACAACTCCTTGTAGGTGCTTACACTGCTATGTGAGCATTGATAGACGCTGCAAAGCTTAACACTGCTATAACGCCTCTTTACCAATCTGCTTGCATGCTTGCTGATAGAAAGCATGCTTTTGTTTCAGAACCTACCAAGAGGTGAAAATCTGACCACCTTTATCCCAATCAGAAACCCATCAAGTTTTCCTTAGCCAGTTGTTTTTCTCTAAGTGCAGTTAGGCATCAAATTACTGTATCCCGTCGGACCTTAAATACTGTTAGTTAAACTAATTTCATTGAGATCATCACAAGAAAATCTCTCTTCTTTCTTATAAACTGGAGAAATCAACGATCTAGAACAGTTTGATATAAGTGTCTCTGATTTGCACACACTGGGAAATATAACAGTTCGAGAAAATTATCCCTGGGGATAATTAACTTCATCGTTAGAAACTGCAGTACAATGGGCTTCTATGTGGCAACAAAAAATTTCACAAGGTGAAGAGTGTTTCAATTGATACTACCTTCCCACTTTTCTAAGGAAAAGCTTGTAAATGTTCATCTTTGAATCCATAAGTTTCCATTGGCCAAAGCACTTCACTGTTTGCAACAGGATTTTTCAATAGACCGTTAGTAACCAGACAGTATTTTCATTATGGGATAGTAAAAATAACTTCAAGATGACACCAACTTTCTGAGCATGAGTAATCTGGAAACAAAGGCTACTTGCAGAAAGATGTGGTTCACTGGTTTAAGCAGTTAACTTTCAATCAGTGGGTCGCGAGTTCGACCCCCGCTTAACCTACCAAGGTGTGGGCAGACAGATAGTATCAATATTCCTCAGAAAATAGGTGTAGCTTATTGTCTAGTGTACAAAGTACAAGTTGTTACTGAGTACATTTCATTTGGCACACTAACACCAAAAGAATTCCTTTTCTTGATCAGTTGAACAGCTCTGTTCTTTTTTCAACCTATGTTTGATTCAACTCATCTCTGTTGACATTATGAGTTCTATAACATATTCGTCTTCATCCACATGACCTAAAGCTAACTATAATTGTGGAGAATATCAGCTTCCGTTTACCTCACTTGCGTATCCGACTGTATGTTCAACTTTCAAACAGTTATTGCCATATGGTGAACTGAGGAAGCGAACTCGTACTTAGCCACCAATATACATTGTTTTGGATGTGCACACAGAAGACCCGAAGGTGGTGATTCCTTTTATTTCTTTTAGATAGTCTAACTGCTTCCAAAATATCTCTTCAGCTGTCCAGAAGTTCAGTGAGTGATAGAGAATATTTGTAGCTCAGGTGGATGGTCTTGATTGTGTTGTGAATTCGATGGCTTAATCGTGAAGCTTTCTATAAACAACATTATCAATACTAGCTAAAATATACAGTGAGCTATCACGATTTCTCTGAATGATTCAGTACCCTGCTCCAATGTCAGAGAAAGAAATACAACGAAGAATTCAGTGAGTGACACTCTATGATCGATATAATAAGTATAGCACTAAATTCAACAATACAAAAACCAGGTTTTTAGACCAGATCTAAGACAATAACTTCATTGTGAATTATGAAATAAGAACATAGAAATACTGGGTGACATAATATCTGAACAATTCCAGTTAATAATAATAAATATAGTGTATAAGGTAAAACTGTATTATTCATTTCTAAGAAAAATTTAAAATGTTACTCTCCCACCTTTCAGTTAGGCAGGAACCAGTGCGAAATCACACACACCAGCATTTCTGTCATTAAGTCAGTAAATCTACAACTATGGTGGTTAAGAAATCAAAGTATAAAATCGAAAGTTTAAGAAAGAAAAACCAGATATTTCTATTACACATATGATAGACAAAAAAGAGTATTTACTACTAATATATATATATATATATATATATATATATATATCACGAAGTTGGTTACTGCCACATGATCAGTTAATGGTGTATAAGTAGTTTGATCGTGGAAATGGAAGAGTGTTGATATTCCCTTCACCTGAACATGAAATCACTTAGTATGATTTCATTTATTTAATATTTCATGGTAAATAAGAGTTCTCTCTTACTCAATAGCTACTTTTTCCACGATACAATAAGATGCTATAAATGTATATAATTCACAGTCGTCATCGTCTATACTCAACCGAAAAGGAATGAAAGAACCCTTAATGAGAATATAACCGATGAGATCGTGGCACCAGTTCATTATTCAATCTTTAACCATTGAAAGAAGTCGGACAAGCTATTCCTGACTTCCTGGTTAAGCATCATTAGAATCACCTGTTGAAAACTTTACCTAATAACATGAAGGTAAAAATGAATATATATTGTTTCTAACTCCTCCGAAATCTTGGACATCCTATTACATTACATTTTTTATTCTTTATCCCATTCTGTTGACACTTCGCCTTGTTTCACTTCATTGGTTATTAGGATTATCATGGTGAGTATCATTTGTATTCCATGATTTTTTTTCATCGAGGTACAGAGAAAACTTTATTTATCAATCAATCCAGACTGACAGCTGCAAGCCTGACGTGGTAGTCGAGCTTGCATATCACAGTGACTCAACGACTTATGCTGGTGGAACGCTTGTTCACCCGAGGTCCTGTCACACCAAAAAGATCAGTTGAGTAGTAGTAAAACAAAATTAGTGACCATTATAGTGTAAATTGCTACCCAATGATAGAAGTTTAACGGTGAAGTCGTAATTCTAGGTGAACAGGAGTGTAAGAGCAGCAAGGTGTTTCCACAGATGGTAAGTAGTGCCATGCTGATGCTGTCTTCCTTAGCGATTCGCATGTTAGAAAAGGTCGGCCATAAAAAATTATGCACTACCCTCTACTCTGCGTCATACCAATGCGGCCCATACCGGATTCGCAGTCAGATTTGGGAAAAAACAACTAAAATCTCAAATTTCTATGGAGGTTATGTGTGACCGGTATCAAGGACTCTGAGGTCACGGTACTAACCCTTCTTTTCCAGGCAACTACAGCATGAGCAGCAGGGAAGTACCAACCACCCTCACAAATGCTACCAATCAAGTTCACTCACATCATTATCAACCTTAAACATTCTTATAATCTTTGTCCATGTCTCTCGGTCAACATCCCCAAATTATTTTTCATTTTTCACAGCCCTCCAGATCTTCACAATCATCTGAGTTCACGCAACAGCATTAATCGTCTGCTGAAAACACATTCAAAACAACACACTGGTGCCTTCAATCTACAAACACTTCATCACATTGGTCAACATCCTTCGTTAGTCAAAACTCTGGCATATAGCGACGTCAATATATGCTGTTTGTTTTGAGCAACACGCATACACAACTAATCTCACTCGATCAATATGGTGAATCCGCAATATTCACCCTTGGTCTTTCTAGAGATTCGATGGCTAGTTCTCGCAGTCTTTCAATTGTAGATACAGCATTTACTGCCTCAACCTCGCCTGGTTAACTAGTTCACTAGTTACTAGCCGCCTCTGTATTATTATCTCCATCGTTATATGAAACATTTGTCACATCAACCGACAAATCTACATGATTGGTTTAATTATATATATATAAAGCTATTTGTATTGGCGTAAAGCCTGAAGAGGATCTAAGTGAGAAAAATATTGTTCGCTTATAAGTCTTGTTCTAATTTACATGATGGGAATTTTTAAAACTCTGACATCTTGTTTTGGTCACTCTGAGCACTAATCCAACTTTCCCTAGCATGCCACATTGAGGTAGGTGGTGGCTTGGCATGCTCAGTACATGTCCAAGCCACCTCAGTCAATGAAGGTTCACAATCTCATTAGTCCAGTTGCCTGTCTTGCCTAGCACCCTTCGCCTGACCTCAAATTGCTCACACAGTGATTTCACGAACCTCGAACAGTGCTACGAAGACATATGTGGTCAAAACCAAGTAACCGCTTCACCTCTTTTACTTCTAACGACCATGTCTCATAGCCATACAACAGGACAGAATGAACTGCAGAGCAGCATCATCATCGTTTGATAGACAGTCCAATATCTCGCCAGTCGGTGTCACAGACGAAGCGAGTTTGGAAATGCCGAATGGGTCTTCTGTATCTGAGCTGAGATGATGTCAGAAACAAGTTCGTTTGGCCTGATGCAACTCTCCAAGTAGGTGAAGTGGACGATATATCGCACCACTTCACTCCTTGTCATTAAAATGGAAGTTGTCGCAGACCACTGCTGGAGCATCATCGTAGATTTGATAAGTGCGAGACGCATACCAGCCAAACGTAATCAAATTTCTGATCCGCGTACAGAAGACTCTGCATTTTGTCAGCGTCTTACATGATGTAAGTAGTGAGAAATACAATTAAATGATACTAGCTTTTGTCAAAAAACAAATTCTTAATAACAAATGAATTATTCTAAGCAAGAGAAAAAGTCTCAAATGTCCAAGTGTGCGTGTGTCTGCGAGCGTGAGTAATGAAGAAACTAGAAAAGGATTATATAGAAACTTAGTAATACAACAAGTTAGAAAGTTTAAAATTACGATTATGAAGACAAAAAGGATTAAATAAAGCTGAAGGTTCGGGTTATGAATAGCAGAGGTTTAAATTGTATCGAAAAGATGAAGATGGAATCGCTTGTAGCGGCTATTTTTCAAAAAAGGAATTATTCTTGAAGATTTAACACCAACCAATCGATACATCCCACGAACAACAAGGTCCGTGTATCAACAGTCATCAACCTTGATTTTTATAGACCATAGCACAACTATGTAACGATTCAAGATGCCATATTTCAAATCAGTGCAGTGAGATACGACGTAACAAGATGATGGTCTCAGAAATGCGAAATACCACGGGACAAGCAGAAAAAGAGATAAGTGGATATAAAAATACTTGATACTTGGATTAGGATGCAGATAAGAGATGAATGTGACTGTCCTATATGGAGGTCTGTCATCTATAGCTCCTAGTCATCGATTTCAGTTGCCTCACGGACACCAACCAAGAAAACTAAGCTTCCTCGTATGGATGGTCAGACTTCAGCAAGTTAAAAATAAGGAACAAACATCAACACCTTTCTCCTTGATAATTCTATTGCTGAAGTAATGCAAGTTATTTCATTTCTAATATAGAAAACTGTGAATGGGACAGAACTATGAGTGAACCTGGTACTGCTAATGGCATTGTTCAAACCTAAAGTAGTTCATGGCAATGAATAACTAAAAGAAGATAAGCATATATTCACCAAGGTGTATATTTTTTATGTGAATTTGGTTGGTTGAAGCTGGCAGAGCAATCCAGAACGCGTGTTCCGTCCTATTTAGGACTCGTCATCTGGATGTACCTGCACCCCAGCGAGTGATGTTGTTCCCAGTGGGACTAGAACCACGTTACCCATCGCTTCAAACGCCAAGGCGTTATCAACTAAGCCATGGAGGCACGATAGCCACTATGCCAATAGGGGTCAAACATTTCGATCTAATAAAACAACTGAGAATTACAAGCTCACCAATAAATAGTGTATAGTTTTATTCAAAAAGCTCAGAATAAAAGTAAAATGGAATTTATACCTTTCCTAATGATAAGCCGTCAGAAAAATAGTTGGCTACCATCCCTTGTTCATTTCATATAATTGATATACACAAATCAACATTATTGCAAGCTTCTTAGGCAGACATTTCAATTAATGAGAAGACGATGTGCTACAAAAGAAACTTCAGCGGAATTATTACCATGCATGTAGACAGGTAAAAAAAATACTTTATACCCCAAATATAGCCTAGTGATAACTTCAATGTATATATTATATAGTCACAATAATACTTTCGTCACAATGAAAACACAGGAAAAACAACCCGAAAAGACTCCGATACACATTTATTTTTAAAAAAATCCTTTATCTGAGCGATGAAAACTCACCTATTAGTGTATCAGGACTGACGACACTGAAGGCGCATATTGCTTTGAATTTAGTTTCCAAAACACATCGCACATGGCTTGTAGTAGAAAATAGAGAACGTGGAAAGAGCTTACCTGAACTGAAAGTGAAGGGTTTTCAATAGCAAAAACACTAATAAACTAGTTTTGAAAGAGAATAAATATTAAAAAGACTATCTGAAATAGCTTTACCTGGAAAAAATTAATTGGTTTCTATACAGCAGCATGATAACTGAAAATTGAAGAAATCCCTATACACAGCGGGATTCGAACTAATAACCCTTGAGTTACTGGTTCATTGGTTTAAAATTCAGCATAATTCCAATTCCCTTTCAGATTTCAATTGTCAATACCATAAGGTCGAAACGTAAAACATATCACGCAGTATGTGAGCATTTTGATGTAGGAATCTGTGGGCCTGTTGCACAAATCATCCGACCAATGACGAAAAGAATACTTGGTTCTTAAAGATCTAAACAACCAAACAGACCAGGATATTATTGATAGATAACGGCTAGCAGTGGAACCTAGCACGCGCATTTCGCCTCATTTTGGACTCGTTAGCCGAACGTACCTGCCTCCAAGTGAGGGACGTTATTTCCACTAGTTTACGAACCTAGGGCCGATTGCTTCAAACGCCAATGTTATCCACTAGGCCACTGAGTCAAGATAACCACTCTTTGTGTGATGAGCATAGCTTAGTTCTCATGTTATAGCTTGTAAGTCAACGCCAGAAACTTACAACCTATAACATGAAAGAGAATAGCTTAATATTAAAGTAGTATGACTAAAAGGTCATGAAAAATTGTAGTTTTAGTTTTACTGTTGTATACTAACGATGAAGCAGAAAAATGAGCTTAGAAAGCGTGTGACTCATTTTCGGTAATCTACTTGTGAGATCTACCGCAGGACTGTCAGATCCCACGATGAACACATTATTATCAAGCTACTCATTCACTTGTTCACGTTCCCAACTTGCATCAAATCGTGACCTAATCAAGTGACCATCAACTAATATCACTGGCAAGTATTTGTCCTGATATCCGACAAGTCATGGCTTCTCGCTAGAATCTCGGAAAATCCTTCTTAAAGTTATGAGTGCTATCCCTTAAATGCACTGTGAAGAAACCTTGATATATATGCTTTTTTAAGCTACAATCTTGTTGAGGTTTTGGAAAAGGGCATTGTGCACCATACGCGGTATTCTAACTCCCAAGAATTTGAACCATTCACATACTGGACAGTAAACAAGTGAGGGAAAATCGAGCAAAGACTAGATATTCAATAAGATAGTCCAATTAGCAAACGATAGGAAGACCTAGTTTATCTGAAGTTCGAACAATCTGGTCACACAAGCACCTGCTGACCTCTGTTTAAGTGTCATGACAAGCTTGTTGAGCTTTCATGTCTAATGTGCAGCTGAAGCGAGGTGTTTCTCGAGAAAATCAGGATGAAATGCTTCTTTCCACGTTTTATATTCAACTTTAATATGGGCTTTGTTTATGGAATAAGTTGAACAAGTAACAACTTTCCAAACACCAATGTTCTAGTCAATAATTTATGGTATTTATACTGGGTGATGATTGAAGATGAAATAAGAATTTGAACCATAGCTGGATTCGAACCATCAACCACTGGGTTTTCCACCCTTATACTCTACTACTGATCTACGACACCCGACTGCTGACCAGATTTTTTATCTTACTTCAATCGTCAAGAGGTTTGCCTGACTACCATGTGAATTTTGTGATGCGTTACTACCGCTTAATCATATTCACACTGGTTGCCTAGTCAGCACTTTTCATCTCAATCGAAATGTAACTGAATTAGAATGAGAGGGAGTATTATATTGACCATCATTTTGACCATTTGAGATAGCCGTAATTTGGTAGACGGACCATGGTCGCATAATTTTCACTTCACTTTCAATCATCACCCAGTATAAATACTAGTCTACCAAATTAGTCAAATAATAATTTATAAATCTACAAACATGAATAAGACCAGTTTTTCTAGTCAAAAACATCGACAAATAAAGCGTATTTAATCGCCATTATGAAGGTTCTTTGTGTATATGATACCTCAAAGTTAGTAATGATGCACTAAAATGCCCTAAATTTACAATTAATTTACCTATATTAAACGAAATAGTTTAAAGCCTTTTTCTATTTACATAGCTAGATTTTCAAGTGCATGCAGATCCCAACATCATAATGGTGTAAATATAGAATGCTCAAGAAACAACCACAGAATTCATTCCTTACTAAATTACTCACATATGTAATAAAGGTGTATGATGAAAATTTAAATTGTCATGCCGTTTACCTATAAGAAACCCACTCATAAGTAACGATATGATGGTGCTGCAAGTATTTGGTCACGACTTTCTATACAGCACCAACAAAATATCGAAAAATCTTAGAGTAAGCACTCCCAAAGTCACCGATAAGTCACATATAAAGGGAATAGGCTAGTCAACGCGGTCAAAAGCATCATCATGATCATTATAAGTGGAGGACACTGAAGAAAACTGGTACAGGGTTGAGTTAGCAGTGAGGGATGAGGATGTCTGGTAACAAAATGACTAGTTTGTTCTCGATAAGAAAGGTTTGCTCAATGAAAATGTAATAATAACTGGTTATTTAAAGTATCCAAACCTACGTCATCTGATCCTGTCTGAAACACAATAGAGCAATCGCACAAATTCGATAGACTGCATCCATAAGTTGGCATATTTTAATTTTAACATGCTCAGATCAAAAACCAATAATGTTATCATATTAAAAAAAAAAACAGTTAAATGTACTAACAACATACCCAGATCCTGGAGGTTTCATGAAACGAGGACTATTACTCCCGGTTGGCATATTACGAGGATTACATGATGTATCTTTTGTAAGACAAAATATATGCGCAGTACCACGTTCACTAGTAACGCATAATAATTCACTATCTTTATTAAATGATAACGAGGTAATTGTAGCTTGACTAGTTCCACGTCGTAATTCATGAAGTAAACTACAATCTTTGGTAGAGAAGACACGAATTAAAGTGCCCTTCTGTGATGCTGTAGCAAGTAAATATCCATCACGATTTAAGCTAATTGAAGCAAGTGGATTTTCATGTGCTATTATTTGTCTTGGAGGCATATTTGTTGCATTTGTAGATGAAGGACATATAGCGCTAATAGGAATTGTACTTGAGCTTCCAATATTATTATTACCTCCGATGTTTGTAGTACTATTATTGGTAGTACTGGTGCTACTGCTGCTACTACTTCCACTGCTGGCAATGTTAGTAGTACTACTCCCACTGACATTACTACTATTCACATTAACACTACTGCCAATATTTCCAATATGTACAAGTAATACAGCTCCAGGTCGTCGTCCAGGAAACACAACCAAAGGATTATCAACACTTTGACAAACATAGCATAATCCTAAAGGATTTGAACATGTCTTCGATTCAAAAACCAATTGAGGAGATGGACTGAAAGTGTAGACTTTGATTGCATTTACAAGAACTACTATTATTCTGAAAGATTTTCAAAAAAGATAAACATACCGAAATACACAATATTGTAGTCATTACAAAGCATAATATAATGAATTGTATATTTTATTTTAACAAATATAATAAAAAAGTAAGTCTGTCAAACTACGGTTATCTCAGATAGTCAAAATGCTAATCAATATGATGCTCACCCTCTCATTCTAATTCAGTTACATTTCGATTGAGATGAAAAGTGCTGACTAGGCAACCAGTGTGAATATGATTAAGCGGTAGTAACGCATCACAAAATTCACATGGTAGTCAGGCAAACCTCTTGACGATTGAAGTAAGATAAAAAATCTGGTCAGCAGTCGGTGTCGTAGGTCAGTAAGTAGAGTATAAGGGTGGAAAACCCAGTGGTTGATGGTTCGAATCCAGCTATGGTTCAAATTCTTATTTCATCTTCAATCATCACCCAGTATTAAAACATAAGTACCAAAAATACCTACTAGGATATCAGAGAAAATGAGTTCAGTGAAGATATATTTTTCGACGATTTCGTTCGCTAGAGCTGTAAAATAATAATTTAGGTGTTTTTGACACGATTAAGACAGCTACCTGCAACCCCTGTATACAGTGAAGTAGAATCTTCAGCTGTGTTAACTACCTATTCTTGGTTAAGTTCTGCGGGACAAGAGAAACCAGTGATTGGAGACTCTAGGTGATATGGTGAGAACTGCTCGACTTAATCTCATCATTTTCTCATTCCCCCTTTCTTTCAGTACTTTCTACTTTTTCCGACCGGTTTTTCTTTCCTTCTCCATCTTCCAGTTTATTGCCTTGTTACTTGATGTGTTGATGTGAGTGTCAACTTGGACCGTTACACAGTAATGCATGGTCCTGTTGATTTTGATGACCATGATGACTATTTATTCCCTTATGCCTGACAATTATAGAAAGATGGATTGCAGTAGTTTTGTAGGAGATCACACGATATTGTGATTTCCTTTAAGGTATCTACATTACTACAGTCAAACTGAAAAACTCATAAAAGTACTGGTTTCTTCTGACCCTCTCTTTCTTGGAAACTAGGTAACCAAACCACAACCCAACATATAGTCTAGATAGTGTTTTACTGCGCTGTCCCAGTTGGACGACACGAAAACTTCTTCCACGCATAGACTACTCTAGCAGTTGCACAAAGCCCGAGCGAGGCCTCAAAGGTATACGTGATTAAATTCAGCGAATTTATAGCTCCTAACATGACACAATGATCAGGTTAGCATATCACAATGACCCAACGATCTGGTATAACGCTTTTTCCCTCGAAGTCTTGCCATACCACAAAGGTCAGTTGAATAGCAGTAAAACGAAAGTAGTGACCGTTATAGTGCAAATTCCCACACTATGATGAGGGTCCGAGGGTGAAGTAGTAATGCTGAGTGGACAGGTGTGTGAGCAGCAAGGTATTTACCGCCAACAATTACCAGTGCCATGCTGATGTCAAATCGGGCGTTTGAAAAGGCTTGCCCTAAAAATAGTATACTACCGTCTTATTTGCGTCATACAGATGCCACCAATGAAGTTCTGAGGCGGATTCGAAAAAACACAAGTTCTCAAACTTCTTTAAAGGCCGTGTGTGACCGGTACTAAGCAGATATCCCTCGCACTCCGACGTCACCCACTAACCTTTCAATTCTAGGTACCTCAAGAAGAACCAGACTTTCACATCACGCACAACATGAAAGTATCAACCGCCCTCACAACTGTCACCAACCAAGTTCGCTCACATCACTATCAACCTTAAACATCCTTACCATATAATCTTTATTCACGTTTTTCCGTTAACATCCTTAAACTACTTTTCATTTCTCACAGCTCATATCGGCCAAAATGCTTCGTTAGCCGAAAATCCGGTATCTCGCGCCATTGATGTCTGCTGTAGTGTTCGTACGACGCGTATACACGACACAGATGCGGTTAATCATATGACCTTAGACGGTTATTACGGAAAATCTGAAAAATTCACCGTTCAACTTTCTGGAGATTCGATGGCTAGTTCTCGGCGTCTTGTAGGGGTAACTATAGCACTATGCTACCATGAAAAGTCAAATGCTTAGCTGGATCCCAACTGACAGTCGCCTTTATGCTTGCTATTCGACTGAACTGCACAGTGATGACTAAAAGTAGTAGTGAAACTTGCCAGCGTCTCTTTGTAACCCTTCTTTATGCACCCACTGACTCTAGCTCAGATGGAGAAAAGGATGAATTCCACCGAAAAGTATCTGACCTTCTACCGAAAGGAAACGTTCAAATGTGGTTGTTGTAGCAGGTGGTTTTAATGCACAAGTGGGTAGACTAAGTCAGGCACGCACTCAGGTGTCACCGCAGTCCCAATCGAACAAACGGTTACGGTGATCGCCTTCTACAACTGTGCTCAGACAACCATCTTTCTGTGGTTATCAGAAACTAGAGACATAAAGAGACATTATCTAACGTGGCATCTTCCAACGCCAACTCAGCGGCGAACACAGACACAGCAGATCATGATCCCTTATCGTAGGAGGGCTTCGCTGGAAGGTTGCGTCCCTTCTATTTGAATAGTAGTCTTGCGTCGCTTCGACAACGCGTATTTCTCCGTCCAAATGGATACGAGAAAACTACAACAGAAAATCGTTGCAAGTGTTTCTTGACAAGAATATAAGGGTACTTCCACCGGAAAACTGGCTAGACAGCCATCGGAACAGAACAATACCAATCATCCAGAAGATGCTTGGCACCAACCCCAGCTCCCTAGAGAGAAAGAGTCTTGAAGATCATAGCAGACTCTCATGAAGTGGTTGAAAAAGGTCAGAGGATCCAGCAGCTTCTTCTGAATTAACAGATACACGCAATGCATTTCTACAAGACCCGAACACCACGAAGAGCGGAAGCAACTAAAATGTAAACTGAAGAAAGTCTATGCAAGGACTGCGAACGGTGGTGAGTAGTGAGGACTAAAGATATCCAAAAGGTTACGTAGTTAGGTAACAACAGACAATGCTTAGACTTATCACAAAAAATGGGGAGGAAAGGACAATGGTTAGTCAGACTACAGTGGAGGAGGATGTGTTTGCAATTCACCCGAAGGGATAACGATTAAAATGATGGGTAGAACATTTCAAAAAACAGATCAAACTGGCCTTCAGCTACTATTCCGTTGCCCACTATCAAGTCGGCTACTGAATGAAAAATCAAGATAGAACTACCAACACTTGCAGAAATCAAGAGAGCTGTAAGCGACCTGGAACGATTGACAGTAACAGGGCCAAACGCACTTTTATGAGAGGTGTATAGCACGAGTGGCACAGGATTATTGATCAGGTTGACCAAAGTGTTAGCTAGTGTATGGAGGTCAGACATGATCCCTTTCCACAGGTCTCAATCACTGTTACTCCATCAATTCAATAATGATAAGAAGTCCTCTCTTCATAATCAGTGAACAAATACCCTGAAGAACATAGTCTCCAGACATTCACTCTCCAACACACACACACACACACACACACACACACACACACATCACATATCCACAACCAACAATACCCCAATTTCTCAAACTTAAAGCAACATAACACTCGTCGACCAACATGCCCTACAACAGTCTCCCTGAATGAAAACGGTGACGACGAGTAACTACACCATTCTGTCGGAACCATGGGAGCATTATACCCTCAGCTAACCTATCACCTCACTTCTGTACGTCACGAATATCAATTCTATCCATTCTCATTCAACCTCATCATACACACACACACACATGTACACTAATCCAAGTCGCCATATCCTCAACACAATTCACACAGGTCGATCTTATCATCATACGAGATTCTTACTACACCCAACAGCTGAACACGCTATTACTTTCTATCTTTAAATAAATGTGCAAGAGGATTCATTGAAACCAATTGACTTCCTATACTCTTCATAACACCCCATTACACAGAAACAGTGAAAGAATTGATGTACATTCACAAGAGAGGTAACTCAATGAGTATGAAACAAGAATAGGGAAATTGTATTAACTTATCTAAATGACAATTTGAAAACAAGAGATTAATTATGCAAAGCCCTTAAGAGATTGAACCCCTAGTATTAGCACAAGCAACTGTGAGTATGTTTAGATTCGGAGGTTTAATGCAACTAATCGTCAGATAATCGTCTGAGTAGACCATTGAAATCCTTCAATGGATCAGAATAAAAGATATTCACAAATGTTGGCAACATCATTAAACTAACGTAAAGTAGTATAAATTTCAATTTGGAGAGGTTTGTGGGATTCATTTAGTAATTTTAAGATGGTATTCATCAGGGACTGACATCAGTTGGAGAAACATTTTGAAATTGGGAGCACTGGAGAGCTGCTTCGTTCCAGTATGGGACTTCTTAGGAGTGCGCATCCGCCAGGGATCGAACCCAGGACCTTCTGGTTCCGCTACCAGCACGTTACCACCAACGCCATTATACGTTAGAAACGTCAAAGAGGTAGTCAGTGGAATGTTAATGTCACTACGGAAAGTAGAGAAGTTGTTTTAGTTACCACTTCCTGGTAAGATATCCTAGGCGATATACAAATAGTCATGTTACTTAAGGGTTTGGAATTTCTTAGGTACATTCCGTAGTAGAAACCAGTGAATATGGTGTTATGGTTTAATTTTTCTTTATGAATAAACAGTAAGATTAACTGAAAAGTGAAGAAAATGTATTTGACTGAACCTTAGGACAATCAATCATCATTATTACTGCAGTGTTCTCTTTCCCCTTCACAGTTTTCACCTTAATGTCACATTTAAATTGGAACTTATTTACTGGTAACATTTCAGATAAGAAATAATAATCCCTAAACGAGTTAAGTGAACGCTACTGATTAAAATCTATGAGAAGTGAACATTGAGATTAGTTCAGTCATTAGTCCAAAAGGAGCGAAGCCATGAAATAAGGAAACCTTTTTGACTGCGAGAATAAGGTAGACAAGCGTGCGTTGGTTCTATGAGTTGCTGTAG